ATTTTTCTATGTATAGTTATTTACATTAACGTAAATACATGTGCACAATATGCCTTATACAAATCCGCATAGTCCGCAATACATGTAAATTAAGAAGCTAGATGCCATTAATTTTATCGATATCAATAATCGACCTTTCGCTCCCCCTACCATATATGAGTTTTTTACGCCTGTATTAGTGTATGTCAAACGAAGTGATTGCGTCAGTGTGACGACCAATAACAAATCTTTTAACCTAGTGCGTGTTGTTTATTTGTGTGCATTTTCCGCGTAGGTATTGGTCTCTTGCTTGTAGTAAAGTTAAAGAGTGGGGGACAAACGGCGACGCGTGTTCTAATACAAATCAGGAACTATTTCCTTTCTAGCCTTCTTTATATGTTCTGTGATAGTAACATACCTACAAGGTGTACAATAGTTTATAAATCTATACCATTTGTGATCAAACTAGCTTTTACCCGCGTCTTCGCCCGCGTCACAAAAGGATAAAAAGTAGCCTATGTGACATATACCAAATTAACAATACACACAGCGCCATCTGTACCAATACTTTTGTTTTCCCTCGGGAATATCAAATTATCCCGGGATCAAAAGTACTCTATTATTTAATCCGGACTTCTAACTTTACGTCTGCAAAAATTCAAAGCAATCGGTTTAGTAGTTACGGCATGAAAGCGGGACAAACAAACAAACTCACTTTCCGATTTATAATATTAGTAAGATAATGTGTGTACAAAATATGTCACGTAATAATAATAATCCTTAACTCAATCTACAACAGTCCAGTGAAGCAAGTGAACGCATCAATAGACAAAGAGTTGAAGTCTAAACGGCGACAACTAGACTCGTTGCTCTCCCGGCCTATATACCCTCGAGGGTTCTCGTTCAAGTACCCGACTCTTAACAATGATACCACGGCATTCCAAGGCAGCGAGGAAAATGCTCTACAGGTAAAGTAATTTATACCTTATTACACTGATTGTAAAGTTGTATTTAGCATACCCCTCTTTTGTTCCTTTTGGGTTCCTGCCCATAGTCCATCAGAGTATAATCAAGTGTCGATGTATTTTGGTATTGTAAAATATGTTTTAAAATTGAGCTCTACAAGGTTACCATTAAGTAATCAATACAACTTAAGGGGTGAAAACAAAAGTATAGTTTATGTACTCACAATAATAGAAACGGGACTTACAAATTATGCCTCTCTCTAATTAAGAGTTACTTTGCGTTATGAGCACCTAAACTAACCCCTTACTTATGCTGTTAGGTGTCACTTCTACGTTAAGAAAACCAAATTGTCGTTTAGTTTTTGTTACCCATCTGATGGGTGTCTTTAAATTTAAATTCCAACCTAGCAATTTAAAATAAATGCACAAATGAGCGCAAGCGCAGTTGTCGAAGAAGTTTTTAATTTTTAAAAAACTGACTGCACTGTTGGCGCTGTGACTGGGCAACTTAAGTGTGGGAGAGCCATGCTTCGGCACGAATGGGCCGGCTCGACCGGAGTGATACCACGGCCGAGCAGAAAACCGACGTGAAGCAACGCTTGCGTTGTGTTTCGTCGTGTGAGTGAGTTTACCGGAGGCCCAATTACCCCCCCTTCCCCAATCTCCCCAATCCCTGAATCCCCAACGATCCCCAAACTTCTAATCCTCAAAAGGCCGGTAACTTATTTGTAACGCCTCTGGTGTTCCAGGTGTCCATGGGCGACGCCGATTGCTTACAATCAGGTGATCCGTCTGCTCGTTTACCGGCTTATGCCATAAAAGAAACTGGCGTCCGAACTACGTGTTGTGGGTCCGATTCGCACGGAACAACTCTTTGTGTGATCCACAGATTGTTGTTCCAGGTCTGGGTGTCATGTGTATGTGAACTTGTATGTTTGTAAACACACACACGACATAGGAGAAAATTTTAGTGTAGTGATTTTTTTTATAAAATAAAAGAACAATAAAACATTACTAGGTATTAATAGAAGTTGGTGAAAACGACCACAAAGACATAACATAACTTCACGCCTTTTATCCCCGAAGGGATAGGCAGAAGTGCACATTATGCCACTGTACAATGTAACACCCACTTTTCACTATTGATGTTATGAGTCCCATGTAATAGGGGGTGAGCCTATTGTCATATACCGGGCACAATTCTGGACTCCGTGCTACAACTGCGATTTTTTTAGAAAAACCCAGTATTACTTTAGCCCAAACCGGGTATCGAACCTGAGACCTGCTCGGCAGTCGCACTTGCGACCACTCGGCTAACGAGGCAATCTTCATAAAAAATTCATCTTTATTTCGTTACCTGCATAACTAGGTTGATTTCTTTAAAATATTGTACAATATCCCTGCTGAACCTTTAAAAAAATTACAAGCATAGTAGTTATAATTATATTGTCTATTTCACAGGTAATGAAAAATGCGTTAGAATCGGGCCAGCTGAAGAAAGAAAAACGAAAAAGTAAGAACGCGCCGCTGCTTCAATTACAGAAGAAGTTTAAGAAAAAATAGATGATACAATTTGTAGATAATTACTGTTATTATAAAATGTGTAATAAATCATTTTTAAATGAAATTTCTTGTTTTTATTTTTATCCGACTTCAAAAAAAGAGGAGGTTCTCAATTCGACCATATATATGCCTTTTTTTTATGTTTGTTCGCCGATATCTCCGTCGTTTATGAACCGATTTTAAAAAACCTTTTTGTTGGAAAGGAGACAGTTCCAGAATGGTCCCATGATAAGAAAATCAGGATCTGTTTTTGACCCTCTGTCTACAAGAGACGAAGTAACTCGCCGACGCCGCTGCCAGTATCACGCGCCGATCAACACACGTAGGTATTGCAGCGCGGCACGGTGCACGGCGTTAGCATCTTCACGGCTCGACGGTCGCAGGAGGAAAAGACAGAGGCTTTTTTTTTTTTAAACGACCACTTGTAGTTCATCACTCTAAGGCTGTTGACTACTTAACCGGACAAACCCTGCGATGGCCACTAACAAAAGTTAAGGCCCCCAGCTAGGGCAACTAAGCTAAGTTTACAATATAAATCTAAATCTAAATGGCCGCGTCGCTGGGGGCACCCCCTGTGGGGTACGAACGTCGGCTGAGCGGGGCCATTTCGGTGAGGCAGCAAGTCGGGACAGGCTGAGTCTGATTATTTACGGGGCTATTTAGCGTTAACTGTTTGCTCAGCTACGCGGGCTGGTTCCATATACAAGGGACGGGGGGCATCGTTTCCAGGACGTCGCGACGGGCCTCGACGGCGGGGCCGGAACGTGGAACGCGGTTTGTGTTTGTATTTTTTAATAGTGCTTGTTTCCCTACG